ACAAAAAACATGATTGCAAAATAACTAGTTTTAAACCATTGACTGTATTTACCCCTCTTTAGACTCACCCGTGTTTGCTGCAGGTATGCTTCCATGTAAAATATGATGGCTGCCGTCAGCCGTCAGCAGGTTTTTTAATACCAGTCTCATACCAGACTGGTTAAATTATAAGTAAACAGTTCATGTGCGTATTGTAGTACGACTTCTGGACATTTGTGTCTGTAAGATGTGTGGATGGAGCTAGTTTTTTCCCCAGTAAAGATTTTAAAGGTGATCACAGCAGCTCCACCTGAGCTCAGCGTCTCAGTACGAACTCCACTTCTTTGCCCTTCACAGTGTGTAAACACACTCAAGATCCACATTAAAACACTCACGTTTACATTGTTTAACACATCTGTGCACTACAGAGCCAGCCACTGAACGAAGCATCAAAGCAAAAAATGTATGCAAACTATTCGAATTACTCGATGAATCATTGCAGCCCTACAGCCAACAACAGAATGTAAAGATGCAAAAACACTAACTTTATATCCCAAATATGCATTATTTGCTTGGGTGTACTTTCTAAACAATATCAAATGTGTAGCAGAAGAGGCTGATTAGAGTAAACGAACCTCTGTTTACCAGGCAAGTAACCGTGAACACATTTTTATTTACCAGAATGTGGACAGTAGGTACACCAACAGCAACAAGCATCCAAAAACATTCAGTTGAATTTTGCAGAAGGCAATTACAAAAAGTACCTTTAAGGATTATTCCATTGTTAATGGAATAATAATGTTTTAATCCACTTCACTAAAAGGTAAATTAAAAGCTGCATCCCAATTATCTATTTGGCTTTTTTTCTTTTACTTTCCACGTCAGCTCAGAGCTCTGGTGGATATTAACCCTGTGCTGCATCCAGCACAACACACAGTGTCACATTTCACTGTGGTTCAGATTTCCATTAAGAGGGTTTGATCAGTCTGTTCTTCTGCTGCTACAGTAACAAAGCTGTCACTGTGTTTTCTGAATACTGCCCATTAGCAG